TTACAATTCGAGTTTTTTCTTACTTTTTAGCTTTAAATTTGTTTATTTCTTATAGTATGTGATAGTGTTTATATTACAAATGAAATCTGCGAAAACGTCCCCAGAAAATTGCAATCTATATGGTGTTAATGTCAAAATCAAAACTGAAGTATTCAATATTTTCCAAGTGCAAGTCGTAAAATTTTGTTTTTACTATAAATGAATATCTACAAATTCACAATATTGAAATTTTACAAAACTTTGTTTAGAATCAAACTGTAATCTGATTTGTGACGGTTTTATTACCATTTACATGTATACAAAGTACTACATGATTCACTTCATAATATAAGAATAAGTCTAGTAAGATTTTTAAATAAGTTCATCAATAATAAACGTGTGGTACCTGAAATGTCCGTTAAACCACATAATAAAACATGTCCTGGGTTTAGTGAATACACATTTCTAGATGTTCTTGTAGCAACCAATAGGTGAATATTTCCGACAAATAAGTCATACACATGATAAATATTATATTTATGACGAAAGCACGAGACTTAAACTTAAATTAACACTAAATGAAACTCAAAAACACTATTACAATGAGAATATTATCTAAAAACAGTTAAAACAATCACAAATGCAAAACCCGCCCAAAACAAAAACATGTAAATAAACAAACATCCTACTTATAAGTGACAAATGACAGGCGCGCGAAAATTAATTTGAATCGCCAATAATTCTTGTCCCATACATAATTTCTCTAAAAAGGTCCGTATTCGAGATATTTGAAAATGTGAAAATTTTGAATTGTGAAGTGAACTGATTAAATTTTGGGAATAGTCAGAACATCTGGGGGCTTACTTTATAGAGGGTCGTTTTTCTACTTTACGTTATCTGTTATTTTGAATAAGAAAATTTTTCAATTAAAAATTGCTTATTCTATAATTTTTAAGTAAATTGTCAAAAAACATTTATTTGTGATATCATTCTCTATAATGTTTGTTTTATACATGATTTCTCTAAAATGGACCGTAATCGAAAAATTTGCGGAAAATTTTTCATTATTTTCTTTGGCAATGAATATATATAAAAGGAAGATGTGTGTGAAAATATATTTAGTTCATCCTCTAAACATTTACAGGGATAATACAATAGATTGTACAAAAAAGCATGTAATGACTAGACAGGAAAGTCATGTGTTGGACACATCAGATTTTTTTTTGGAGTACAGTATTCTAAATCGCATCAATGTACAGTGTGTTCCATAGTAATTGGAAAAATTTCCCGAAATATATCGGATAATTTTCTTTGGGGGACATATTTTGACGTATATTTGAGGATTGAACGAGCAAATCCCTATGAGGGGGCGCTTCAACCCCTCAAAATTAAATAGGGAAGAGGGGTTGAGTGATACTTCATTTGTAAGATCTTGGAAGTCTCTTTACAACGGTGTATGAAAAAAATTATATTCTTAAAAAAAATAAATTGTTTTATCATGCTTACAATCAAAATAATCAAAACTGCGTTTTTAAATAAAATGTTCAAATTGTCCTCCATTGACTTCCATACAGTAGTAAATTCCCTCGAACTAATAATAAAAAAAAATCAAAACATTTTCTTATCTTGCCTTCATTTTTTGTTCTTAGAAGGTGTTTATCACGTTTCTTCGATCATTTCATGTATGATAAAACAATTAGTTTTTTTTTAGAATGTGATTTTTTTCATACACCGTTGTAAAGAGGCTTCCAAAACCTTACAACCTTACAAATGAAGTATCACTCAACTCCTCTTCTCTATTCAATTTTGAGGGGTTGAAGCGCCCCCTCATAGGGGGTTGCTCGTTCAAGCCTCAAATATACGTCAAAAGATGTCCCCCAAAGAAAATCATCCGATGTGTTTCGGGATATTTTTACCAATTACTATGGGATAAGAAATATACGGGGTGGCTCGTCTGAGATGGAACACCCTATATATCATTTGATGATGTGATTAAAATTTTGGTTGAGAATACATTCAGATGACAAGTTGTAAGGGGTTTTCTCGCCACAGAGAAAACGGTTTCTTACGAATGACGCTGGTTACGGGCGGTTCTCGAGCGCCAGATTTTTGATGATGGTTTACTCCACAAACTTTCGAAACGACGTCGAAAGTACTCGGGTAGCTACAGATGGAGATGAAAAATTCCAGGGGTCAAAGGTCACTTAGACACACCAGTTGTGGTGATAGTAAATATAACCCTGAATATAAAAAAAAAGAAACAAAACGGACGGTAGTGATTCGCGACTAGTCTCAATCAGACGTCAAAATTAAATCAAAATAAAATGTACGTTCCGGTCGCAGAGAAAAAAAATTAACTTGGTTATTTACTCGGTAAATAACTGTTTAATCGCGGTATCGGGAATTAAACTAAAATGTAGGTATTTTACTATTTAGGTGAAGACAAATTAGCCAAACGGTCGAAGAGAGTGCGAGGAGACAGGGACGCGAAAGAATTTACTTAGAGAAAATACACGGAAAGAAAATAAAAATAAATTTATACCCGGGGTAGCCTATTATCCCAGAATGAGCTAATCATCATCACGAGCCCGCTCAGACAGGGTAATGAAGCTATTTTTAAATTCTGCAAGTTGCAGTTTGCACGAAAAAAAAAATGAAGAATATAAAGGGGAAAAAGAAATCTAACGCGGATAGCACCTAGTCTAAGAATGAGCTGATCGTCATCACGAGCCCGTTCAGACAGGGACAGAATACTATTTAAAATTATTTAAATTGACGGAAAAAGAGAAAAACAAATTATTATCGGAGGGAAGAAAATTACTAACGCGGATAGTACCTACTCCAAGAGTGAACTGATCGTCATCACGAGCCCGTTCAAACAGGACAGGATACTATTTAAAATTGTTTAAAAATTGCGGTTTACCGATTAACTAAAAAAAAAATATAACGCGGATAGCACCTACTCCCAGGGTGAACTGATCGTCATCACGAGCCCGTTCAGACAAGGACAGGATGCTATTTAAGATTATTTAAAATTACGGTAAAAGAAATAAACAAACTATTAAAAGAGGGAAAATGTCTCCTCGAAAACTCCGTTTACAAATATTCCCAACTTAATTACAACGCGGTACTTACTAAACAAAAGTATTTATCAATTAAATCAAATTTAATTCCCGATTTAACCTATAAAAAAAAAATAATTTCTTAATACGGACTAACAATCAAAGTCTAAAATCCCCGGTTTTACAATATTACAGAATTAAATCCTATCATTTATTATTTAATTCAAATTATATCCCTTTTTAACGAAACGGTATTTTATTTGCCAAGAAATAAATTCAAATGTTTATTAATGAAATCAAATTATTTCTTTTATCTAAACACTATCTATAAAAAAACGGTAATATTTTTACCAAGAAACAAATTCTAATATTTATTATTTAAATCAAATTAATTCTTTTAACTAAACACTATCTATAAAATAAAGAAACGGTATCATTTGCCAAGAAACAAATTCTATTATTTATTAAAGAAATCAAATTAAATCTTTTAACTAATCAAATCACTATCTATTAAAAATATTCCTATTCCTACAAAGTAATTCGCTATTTAAAAGGAAATACGGTCTCAATTTCAAACGTAAAAAGCGGAACAAGGTTTTTTACCTAACGGATTTGTAAATACAAGAAAACGGAAAAAATATCGGCGGTGATTTGATTTCTAGTGCGGCTTATTAGACTCGACTGGTGGCAACCAAAAATTATATCGAACTGATAATTTTAATAGCATCTCCGCTCTCGTTCAAACAATTGATTCCTTCTCCTATTAGAAATTCCACTTAGACACAGAACTACCGCGCACGATTCGCGATCGGCGTTCGCGCTGGTAAATTAACTGAGGATCGACAGTTCATATCGCGTTAAATATTTATTAAAAATGAAAAATGAAAATAAATTGATTGAGGAACATTGACTTCATTACAAAGTGTAATACGGGCGAAAAGAAAGGCGATTTTTATATAGTTGAATATCTTTACACCTCATTAAAATATGTGCAAATTTATATTCTGTTGCATTTTATGTGATTTTAATTAATGTTTGCATAACTTTTTTATTCCATGTTTTAGTACCCAGCCTAGGAGCCTATAGGTGGTATATTTGTAAATCCGCTGCTGCCTAAACTTGAGTCTTTTGATCTTCTTGTTTTCTCCTAAATCGAATTTCCCTGGAGCTATGTTATAAGGTTTGTTCCAACAATAATCTTGGAACCATACACAAGCCAGTCCACAACTTATTGTCGACGACTGATAGTCGACGACCAGTCCACGACCTGTCGATGATTGAGACTGAATTTGGAACTTGGTTGTGTTGGAACACATGTTTCTGTTGTCAGACACACTATCAATAACGTAAAAGTAGAAAAAACATAAACCGATTAAATTTTGAATTTAATAAATAAAAAAAATTAAAACTCATTAAAAGATTCATAAATTTTGAATATTCGATTGGTTAGTACATTAACTTATTTTATTTTTTACTGTATCTAAGTCAAAATAATAGTTCTTTTCACTTTCTACACTCATTACTCATAAAATAATATACTATAAATAATGATAATGAATAAAAACTAAATTACGATCGCGACTACGATCGATGATGCTATCAAAACGAATATAATCACGACATTTCCAGAGTTGGTCGTGATTTATTTACGAGCTTACTTTCGTTTTGCGCATGTCTTGACAATTCGTTCCTATTCAGACCCAGGAACTGATTTGATAGTACAGAAACTGGTTTGTGATTAGGTTTGAGTATGTTGGAACACTAGGTTTTTGTACAGTTTCGAGTCCGAGGTTTGTTGGAACATCAAATCTAGACTGCGCAGAATCCCGACAGTACATAAACCGATTTGCTATTGTGTTGGAACAAACCTATAGTTACCAAATTGAGTAGAGAAAAGATTTAGTTTAAGAATACTCAGATTTTTTATAATCGCCATTAAAATACTTTGTTTTCTTGTAGATGAAGAACCGAGACCAAATCGAAATCATGTTCCAACCGCAGATGGTTGCGGTTCCCTTGGAGTGAAAATCGATTCTAACTACTTACCAGTGGGCGAGATGAAGAAATGCTGTGACGTACACGATATCTGTTATGATACATGTAGAAACGACAAAGAAATGTGCGACGTAGAGTTCAAAAGATGTTTGTATAGGTATTGTGATGGTTATGACCAGTCAGTAGGTGGCACTACGGTGGTTAAAGGTGAGAACAAAATTGAATCTTCTTCGTTCCTACAAACACATGCATTGGACATTGGACCAATTAATATACCCTGTTTTTGAATGAAGATAAAAATTAGTTATCTTTTCTAACCTAATTGTTGATTTCACATAGTATCCAATAAAATTGTAGAAGCTAAAATGATAATATAAAATGGCGCTACCTATCTCTTTGATTAAGTTCATAGCTTTTATTAAAGTGATTTTGTTTTTGAAGTAAATACATATTGTAATTCTATATTTTGGAACCTACATTTCTGCTAAGTAGGATACAACAAAATTTAGAAACATAGGTATTTAAAAAATGTAATTTTTCAGGTAGGACACTGATGTTACAGCGACGTCATTTATTTGTCATCCGTTACGTCATCTACTCGGGAGAAAGGATATCCCCATTTGCTTACTTTTAACTAATTTAATATAGTTCATTTAGGAATGTTAAACTCTTTAGCGGCTCTTGTTATCGAAAATTTTCCGGATTTTATCATATTTAAAACTTTATTTAGCTTTAATTTATATTCTTCATCCTTATAGTTCCGATATTTTCTTTTACCCATGTCTATAAAAATAAAAAAATTAATAAAAAACTGCTCCTCAATTAATTTATTCGTTTGATCTTAACTTTGACCAGGGAAGTAACTTTGACCAGTGATCAAAGTTAGTAACGCAAAAAAATGAGGTTAGAAGAATTTTACAAAATTGCCTGTACTCTAAATAAATTATTGACGAAAAATCAAACACATGCATTTCCGAACATATATAATAGATTACTTACCGTGAGTAATGATGACTCTTGATTGTCTTTTGTTTTCTCTCCACGAGGGATAGTTTGCACGTAACGTATTTTAACGTACCTTACGTCCAAACGGTCAAAGTTTATTGTGCATATGATTTTTAACTGAATATGGCTGCCATCTATTAGTCAATATACTATTTGTGGCGAGAAATCGCCAGCACTATACATTTACAGATTTCCAAGGTTCCTTATACCAGTCAATGACCTTTTGATCATTGTTAGGGGAACGGTCAAAATAAGAGGACTATTAGGGTGATTCACCCAGACACCACAAAAATATTGCATGAATATTCAATGTATATCTCAACTGCATACTATTCCATGGATATGCTATATCCGTCATGGCATATGACAGGAAGATTGCAGGAATATTTAAGGTCACCATGAAACATGTGCCCACGATATGTTTTTATCTGCCAAAATATATGTATGGCATATTCTCTGGATTTACTGAGGATATTTATGTATGCCTATATTCATGGTATTTTGAATATTCATGGCATATTCAATTTTTTTTTGTAATGCCGTACCATAGTTTAGAAAATAAAACCCATACTTAAATACAAAATAAATTTTATTTTAAAAATAAAGCAAATCTTAAAAAATAAAACAATACATACATACATACAAAAAACTAAAATATAAATTTAATTCTTACCCACCTTTTACAATATTGCAAATCGGTTTGATGGACTTTGTGGGGGAATTTCACGCTCTTCGAAATTATATTCATTATGAGTGAGAAATCATAATTCTAAAAAAGTTCTTAGTGTAGGGAAATATAATGGTAATCAAAAGAAAAAATGAATCTAAATAACATTATGAGTTAGTATTGATCAATTTCTTACGTTTTTAGGTATAAAAATGGCTGTAAATTCATTAAATATTGGTCGGACAACTTTTTTTATGAGTCAGCCCTTTTTTCTCCTACTTTTGGCGGTTTGCTCGAAAAAAATTGAAAAAAAAAATTTTTAAAGTCTGTACTTTGACGACTCCTACTGGTGAACCAGTATGAGTTACACAAAAAAACTCTGAAGCAATTTCGAAGAGCATGAAATTCCATCAAACGGATTTGCATTATTGTAAAACGTGGGTAAGCATTAGAAATTTGCATGCATTTTAAATGGTAAAACTTTAAATTCAAATAGTAAGTACTTAATATTAATATTAAGAGATCAAACTTGGTGAGAATTTTTTTTTCTATATGTAGATTAATACTTTGAGCACCGAAAAAAAAAAACTTTGCGGAAATGAATCACCCTAAGGACTATACGGTACCTTATGGAGTGTTTACAAAAAAAAAAAAAAATAAAAATAGAGGAAATATCCCACCTAAACATTCGCCGCTTGAAATTATGAATCCAATTATTTTTCAACAACTTAAATTAATTCAGTTTTTTATTTTCAGCCTGTAAAGGAGCAGCTAAAATGTTATTTACCGGTACCCTAACACTTGGTTGTAGAGCATATTTAGATGCGCAAACACAAGCATGTTATTGCTCATCGCAAGGGAGAAAAGACAAAAAGAATAAAAAATTTCAACAAGAGAAGATGGGAGGAGAATTGTAATTTTGTTTAATTTTTATTGTTGTTTTTAAGTTATTAAATTTGTTAATAATATCATTCCATTTTTTATGATTTTTAGTCATAATCGTAATCATTTATTGTTTAGTATTATTACTCGGGTATTTCAGATTTTTGAAAGGAAAAACAGTAATTTAACGTCTCTATTTTAAGTAACTATGACTGTAATGGATATTGAACATTTTCACTTAGGTCTTTTTCCCATATTCCTGCCTTTTCCAATAAAATATAGAATATAGGATCAAAGAAATCTTTGTTGCAAGATTATCGACATTCTTGTTTCCTTCTATTCCTTTGTACCTTGCGATTTTTATACATAGCTTTGAGACACCTGCCCAAGAGATTGCTTACCTCATTATAAACAACTTTAAATTTAGCCCTTAGTAGCGCTGTAGATATGATAAGACATCTTCCCCAGGGACGTAGGTTACTACTTTAATGCCTTAATGACTCTATAACAACAAATTCATGTAGTCGCTTTTAGTAGGTAGGCAATCAGCTTAACTTGGACAGTAAAAACGATTTTTGGTCACCTTCGAACACAAATAATATAGGCGCAATCAACGGAGAGGACGTAGACGTAGCCTTAATACAAGAACCCGGAATCTACAAAGGGCATGTGAAGGAGATCAGATCAACCAAAAGTAAATTAATATTCAATACCCAATGTGAAAACACTAGTACATGTATATTGTAATGGGTCCCCACCAGAATATTGAAATATTGAAAAATTTATTAACACCAAAAATAATGCCTAGGGCTTATTTTTTGACAAGTTGGGTATGACTTTTTTTCTGGCATAAGTTTTCTGGAGACAAGCAACTCATTTTTCATGTCCATTAACAAGATGTGATAAAGTGGCACTTATGCCGACATTTGATGTTAAAATTATAGGCAAACTCGAGTCAAAGTGTACTAACACTTGCTCTGATGCCATTATGCCCTTTATTTCATTAAATGCATCTTCACATTCCTTTGACCAGAAAAACTTGGTATCTTTTTTTAATAAATTATATATAGGACTCAATATTTCTGCCAATTTAGGTACATATGGTGAATAATAGTTAACCATACCTGTGAAACTTGGTACTTCTGATATGTTAGTAGGAGCTAGAGCTACATTGATAGCTCTTATTTTATCTTCTGTCTTGCGAAATCCATATTTACTAATTCGATGTCTTAAATATTGTACTTCTGGTTCAAGGAATTTGCATTTTTCTTTCTTCACTGTTAATCCTGCCTCAGCCAATTTTTGAAATACTGCTTCAAGGTTATTTAAATGTTCTTCTGTTGTCTCTTCTGTAACTATAATATCGTCAAGAAAATATACTGTACCCTTAATACTTTGTAACAACTGTTCAATAGTTCTTTGGAAAATACTACTTGCTGGTGTTATACCAAATGCTAATCTGTTTACTTTATACAATCCTTTATGAGTATTCCACGTTAACATTTTTGCTGATTTATCATCTACACAAATTTGATTATATACCATTTTTAAATCTATTTTTTAGAACCATTACCCTTTATTTAGTTTAGCAAAAACTTCAGAGACCTTGGGTAATGGATATTTTACTTCTTTTAAAAATTTATTAAGCGTAACTTTATAATCAGCACATAATCTAACTGTTCCATAGCTTTCATGATAGGAACCAATGGAGTTGTCCATTCACTATTTTCTACAGGAGAAATATCGGTTCTGTATTCTCTATCAATTTTAATGAAATTTCTGAATGCTTACATTTACCTATTTTATCTACAAATACCGCCTGACATGTTTCTAGTAATTTATTTATTTCGTCACTAACTGCAATGAAATGTTATTTAAAAGATTTACCCTTACCTCAAAAATATTTAACCAGTCTCTGCCTATCAAGTTGGGACCACCATTATCAACCACTTGAAATTTCATCTCTTTAATGGACGGAATAATGATAACACTCCTCAAATTTGACCAAAATAGTCTGCGTCTATGGACTATTTCATGCCAAATTTTCTAACCTGAAAGAATGCTCACGTCACTGCACTACACTAATCCGTCCTGTTTGAGACAACCATTGCAATCTTACTTTCAACATATACTACACTCTTTATTACTTAATATTTTAATACTCAACTAACTCTTCCCAGCTAGCACATAACGTTGCCAATTCTGTTGGCGATGTTGTTTTAAGGGAACGTAATAACATTACTATACAACGTAAATGCAACGTTCAAAACTTTTATTTGTAATTTTCCTATTTAACCTACCTGTTATGTTAACACAACGTAATAATTTAATTTGCTATAAAATGTATCCACGAGAAGTACTAGAAACATCACAATCTGAATTCGGAACGTTTATGTTTATGCCAATTGTCACTTGTCACCTTCTCTTGTCATTTGTCATGTTTGTGAATGATGGTCTTTTTTTAATTTATAAATTATTTATACATTTGAATTGATTTGGTAAGGTTCCTCTATAAAATAGAAAAATATTTTTCAAACCATTGTCTTTGTTTCAGATTACTATGCCTGGTGTAAATTTAATAGTTCATTCATTAGGTAGGTACTCAATAAAAAGTGGTTTAACTACAATAGAAACAAAGAATGACAGATAAACCAAATACCCAGTTATATTTTACACCAAATATACTTATAAAAAAGATTTAAAAAACTTACTTCTGGGTAATAAGTAATAGACTTAATCAAACTAAAAATAAATTTTAAAAATAATATATTTTAGGTTTTTTTTTGTACCTACATTCTAGAAATTTTAGAAGTAAAAGTAAATACTACAGAATTGTCTAAAGAAGAATATATAGCACCTGAAATTTTATAAAAAGTGAATTTTGTAATGAGAACCCATTAATTAGTGATAATTAACGTTTAATTATCTGTGTTAATTAACTATATTTAATTTTGACTAGCTCTTAGATATTTTTAGACAAAGCCATTTATTTACCTTAATCAGATGAGCATATGAGACTAGTTTTCTCAGTCGTAAATTCAGGCTTTTCTAATAGACTCTTTTGGGAAATATTTTTAAGGATAGTGTGAGCGCCAATAACTCTCTTTCCTCTTTCTTATTTTCTCTCATTTCTCATTTATCGTCTTCCATTCTCATATCATTAATATCTAAAACATCTTTATATCCGTTTATTTTTCAAACTCCTTTGTATTCCATCTTCGTGCCACTTCTTAATTTCATATATTTAATTTATATATAATTATTCTTTTCTATTTATAACTAGGGGAGGCCGGGGTACATTCAGACACGGGGCACATACGGACAGTTCAAATTTACCGCCTAAAAAAGTTGATACAGCGCGCTTACTCTCATCAAACGTAGTTTCAGTATTGTTGTCGCCGCTGTGAAATTTTGGTACAGTTGTCGTTACAAATTTGTTTATCAATTAAGTTTCCTGTTTTTTGGGCTAGCAGGTAAATATTTTCCGCTTTACTTCGTAAGGTTTCATATATAGTATCGTTGATATTTGTTGAAATCTATTTAGTACATCGTCAACTAGTATTAAATAGGAATTCAATCACATGGTTAATAGCTTTATAACCATAACCTAAGAATTGTTGTATGTGATTATTTTCTTTAACTACAGCAGGGGCACTTTCGGACACATGAACTGGGGCATATTCGGACTGTTCGAATGTGCCCCGTTATAATTGTGAACTAGACTTTTAAATGTATTTTTTAACAGGGTGTATTTCTTTTTCGTCTAGGATGGTTCGCACTTACAAAAAGAAAACCGAAAGAGTCAATATTTCAGAAGATGCAATACGAGCTGAAATATCTGATATAATTGATAATGGAATATCTGTTAGACAGGCTTCTTCAGTACACAATATTAAAAAGTCGACAATCCACGATCGTTTAAAAATATTTCATAAAAAACAAAATAGGGATTCTGGCAATGATAGTGGAGAGGAAGATCAAGATCAAAGATCTAGTAAATATGCAGCAAGGGGCGTGTTCAACTCTCAAGAAGAAAGTGAAGTAAAAGATTATTTAATTCAGACTTCCAATCGGCATTTTGGGTTAACCTACAAGAACACTCGTACTTTAGCGTACGAATACGCATTCAAACTACAATAGAAATATCCATCGTCCTGGGATAAAAACAAAATGGCCGGTGAAGATTGAATGGCTGGTTTTATAAAAAGACATCGTGATCTATCCCACCGAAAACCGGAAAATACCAGCCTGGCAAGATCTAGCGCTTTCAATTCAACTAACGTTAAACAGTTTTTTGACAATTATAGAAAAGTAATGGAAAAATAGTTCACGCCAGATAGAATCCTGAACTGTGATGAAACGGGAATAACAACTGTTTTACAAGCCCCAAAAGTAATTGCACAAAGTGGAAAGAAACAGGTTGGACATATCTCTTCTGGAGAGCGTGGCACCCTAGTAACATTTTTGGGGATTATAGCAGCATCGGGAATTTCGTTGCCTCCTGTTTATAAAGGGTGTCCCATCAAGAGCGCCGGATTTAAATTTGCCGCCATTTTGTTAATACGAGTTGCACTGTCAATTTTTTTTGACAGATGTCACCTACAGACCGCGCGATTTAAGAATATGGAGAAGTATTCAAATGAACAACGTTTAATTATTGTAAAAACACATTACAAAAATGGTGAAAGTTTTGCGAAAACAGTTCGCCATTTACGTCAAATTTTCGGTCGTCATGATGCGCCAAATGAATCGACAGTGAGGCGTTTAATTACAAAATTTGAGACCAAATTTACGCTGATGGATCAGAAGACCATTGTACGTCGTCGTCCTTGTCGGTCACTCGAAAATATAGCCGCAGTAAGGGAATCTGTGACCGAGAATCCGGGAACTTCCATTCGGCATCGTGGTCAAGAATTAAACATTTCCAGAGGCACTATGCAACGAATTTTGGTAAAAGATCTGCACTTGCATGCGTACAAGGTTCAATTGGTGCAAGAAATCAAGCCAAGAGACCATGCGCAACGCCGTGGATTTG